CCAATTAATTCAACTCAAGAAAGAGTGCATTTTATTCCCCGACAATAAGTATTTGCCATACATCAATCGTGGTGCAAGGTGTTATGATATAGGCAGGAAGGAGGCGTGTAGGCAAAACTGTGAAGGAGTTCGAGTCCATCTGGGAGATCCCAACATGCAGACCACTGACTTTTTTGTAGCGTGTTGACATTCTTCCGTCAGACTTGATTCCCATGGAAACTCGTCATGTAAAAAAGTTCTACTAAACAGTAAATGACTTAAAAAAATTATCCTCTGAGGGGGGTTTACATTTCAAGGGGTATAAGAAACCTCAACATAAAGGATTTAATATTCTTCAGTAAATTTGAAATAAAAACAACTTGTGGTAGTTAGTCAAGAGCCTGGAATTTATTTTCTAAATAAAGAGTGTGAACAATGTAATCTCATTCTGTGGCTCGCATACACAAGTTTGAAGTTTGTCTCACTATCTTTATTGGGGTTGAATCCAGTTTAAGTTATAAATACAGAATGCTTAACAGATATACATCCAATACACGTGGGAAAGGAAAGATATCTACACTGGCAATTACAACACTTCAATCTTTTCAAAAGATAACACCTTTAGGTAACACTTAGACCTTTCGCCTCTAAGAGGTAACTTAGCAGACAATCTTCAAGGAAATCAGTGCTGTGTGGACTTCTCTAGCCTGCCAAAGTCCAATGTGCAGCGGAGGACCAGTGGAATACTGTAGCAGAAACCGTAAATTACAAAGTGGTAACCTTCCTACAGGGTCATTAGAATCCCCATCCTGTACACCCCTCCAGACATAGCAACTCACTCTCTCTGAAGAAACAGACTTCTTTCTCTGACAAGGATATTTCACAACATGTCTTTCCGAACTAAAGAAATACCTTCCCATTCAACACTGATATTTTTAAAACCATTAGAACTTCTGGTTGCTTCCACAGGTAAATTTAACGAGTATCCCTTAAAAAAATTTTTTTTCAAGAGATAACTTGCATTTTACTTGTTACATGAACTTATACAGCACATCTGATTGCAAGCAGCAAGATAATTACCAAAGATCCAAAATAAAGTTTTTTTTAAATATTCAGACAATTAAATATTCACTACATGTCAGTCTCCTCCAAGACCTCCAACTAGACACTGTGAAGGGTACACAGAAGCAAACCTCATCTTATGCAGCCACGTACATCATCATTACACAATGGACAGATAATTGGTTATTTTATCAAGAAGACTACCACAGAATACTTTTTATTATTTATTATTTATATTTTTATTTACTAGTTATTAAAATCTACAACCCAAGGAAGAGAGGTACCTGAAGCAAATCATCAAAGCTAAGGAGACTCGGCTAAACTCTCAGAAGGTGATAGAAATGTAGCATGTGTTTCAAGTCTTAAATGTGGTTATTAAGTTAATGCTTAGTCTCACTCTATTTTGTACCAGAAAGAGCAAAAGGGGTTCCCCCACCCTCCTTCACCAAAAACAAACAGAAATATACAAGAGATGATAGGTCAAAGTGGATATGAAGAGCCAACTTACAGGATTACTTGAGAGACGGAGGGGCTTGTGTAAAAGGGCAGATGGGCGTTGCCATGGAAACGGGCTGAAGGGTTTGTGGACTGATTATAATGTATGCGATTCAAGTCATCTTCCCCCACCGACTGACAGAACAATGACCTTCACAGGACTGCTCCCTGCTCTGCTGCCAAAACACAGGGCAAAATTAGGCAACCTGTTCTTCATGCCCTTGGGGAGCTCTGCCTGCATGGTACCCTACAATCTGCTAGTTTCAGACCATGTTAATGCCACAAATCGGCAGCCATTGTGTCTGATCAATTATCTGCCAGTTTATCATTAACATTATTGAGTAAATGATACAGACAGCATAAATCATTAAAGTTTAAATAGCCATTTATATCCTGGGGAATCCCTCACCAGGATTGTATTAAGTTATCTTGAGCTGTGGGGTGATGCTTTAATTCACTACATTCCACCCCCCATAGCTCTCATTTTGTTCCTTTTATTAAAGGTGTCATGCCACGAGAATCAGCAACACAACCCACATGAAAATTCATCTTAAAAGGAAATACCTACTTTCTATGGTTTGTAATGACATCAAGATATTAAGCTGAGTCACTTGTTTGGAAAAACGTATCACAATCGTATCGCCCTGGGAATGAGTTTAAGTTTTTCACCAAACGTCGCTGAGAGTCGTGACTGATCAGTTTCCAGGGCGAGGGAACACGTTTAATACATCCTGGGGTTTGCAGCGGGCGCCCTGTTGTCACGCAGCTTGAAGCAGATACATTTCATGGGTTTTAAGACGCATCAAACAACATTTACAGATTGGATGCCAGAGTGCAAATCCGACACAGATGACTTCAGTTAGTTTGATATAAAAGATCGGATCTTCTTCGTGTGCTGAAGCTGATAGCGAAACGGCACCCGGAAATGAGCATCCTAGGAAAGACCCGCTGGTAGGGATGCTTGTGTTTGTTTTGTTTTCTCTCCGCAGACACGTTTGCGGTGGGCTACCGGTGACAACTTTCAGTGGAAAGAGGCCCTCACTGTTCGACCCTTCAGAGGCTGCGGTGGACGGTGATTGCTCAACAGAAAAGCTGCCGCTTCGCCCTCCCCTGTGCACATGAGGGTTCGGAATGTGGCCAGCTGTTGAGGAAGAATGAAGAGCTGGCTTTAGCATAGACGGTCACACTGATGTCAATGAACTGCACTGCACAGAAAGTTAAGAAACCTGTAATGGGCCTCACTCCCCCATTCCTGAGGGTGAGGGGGTGGGGATGTAGCTCCGGGGCAGAGCACGTGCCTAGCAAGCATGAGGTCCTGGGTTCAATCCCCAACACCTCCATTAAAAATAAATAAATAAAACCTAATTACCTCCCCCACCAAAAAAAAAAAAAAAAAGCATACAGTGCGGTATGTCAATTATATCTGAATAAAACTGGAAGAAAAAAAAAGAATGATTTCAAAAAAACAGAAAGAAAACTATAACCTTTCTTCTACCATGAACTAAAAATATTTCAATGAAGATGTTCTAAGTTATAGATCATACACCATAAAGCAACTCTTCTGCTAAATTCTTACCACTATACAAACACCTGTGGGTTCAAAAATTAAGTATATAAGCATTCTTCATTTGAAGATCAAAGTAGTAAGAGGAAACAACATTCAGAATGTGGCTTAAAGAGCATATAGCTAGACTGAAAAAAGAAGATGTGGTGTATATGTACAATGGAATATTACTCAGCCATAAAAAAGAATGACAAAATGCCATTTGCAGCAACATGGATGGACCAAGAGATTATCATATTAAGTGAAGTAAGTCAGACAGAGAAAGACAAACATCATATGCTTATATGTGGAATCTAAATAAAGGTGACACATACCTTATTTACAAACCAAAAAGACTTATGGTCATAGAAAACAAACTGTGGTTAGCAAAGGAGAAAGAGTGGGTGGGGGATAAATTAGGACTTTAGGATTAACAGATACACATCACTATATATAAAATGGATAAACAACAAGGACCTACTGCATAGCACAAGGAACTATATTCAATTTCTTGTATTAACATACAAAGGAAAGGAATCTGAAAAAAAATGTTTGTATGTATATGTATACCTGAACTGCTTTACTGTACTCCTGAAACTAATACTGTAAGTCAACTACATGTCAATAAAAAACAAAATCTAAAAAATAAATAGAGAGCACATATCTGGAAATCAGAGAATGTCACTACAAAGGCAGAATGGGACGGTGCACAGGGCTTCCCACGCTGAGGCCCAGTCCTGGTGCTGCTTCCGGCCAGCTGTGTGACCTTGGGAAGATCTTTTATTGTCTCTAGTCTCCAGTTTCCTCATCTATGAAGTGCTAAGGATTTGATTACCTCAATAGCTGTCCTCCAGCTCTTGGAATTACACTGAACACTTACAAGCACCCCAGTATAACACCCCAAATTTTCACAGGAACCATATGGTATTCATCCTGAATAATTTTCATCTTTTGTGCATTGTTTTCCTTAAACAGTGATTTTTCTTCACCGTATTTGTGCCTTGCAAACGACTAA